ACCATTCACGAAGATATGCCTCGGTATGAAGAACAAAAGTGGCAGTGGAAAATGGATTGTGATTAAACACGAAGCAAACTCGCTTTTCGAATTGATCGCAAATGGAGAATTTACCGAAACAAAAGTGGGGAAAAATCAATGGAAATCACTGATCACTGACTCAGAATTACAGTACAACTGTAACAAAGAGGGGTTCAACATTGACGGAGGTCGGCAGACGAATGTAAGGATCGGATTAGTTAGTAATAATAACGCAAACTGTGAGTCGTGCAACTCTTGCATTGGTTTTGGTGCTTCAGTACGTGGATGCGATGGCAAGATAAAAGATATGGCATGTGGCAATTTATACAGGTGCGCTGGTTATTATATAAATAAACCAGTTTTCGGATATATACTTGTGCACTAGCATCGCAATTTTAGGAACTTCAAGCAAGTTGATGACGAGACAAAATTAGATTCTTAGACAGTACGTCGTTGTAATGTATTTAATTTAGTAAATTACAGATTCTGGCTACTGATTGGTCAAGGGACCTATAAACACACAAACTGTTTAACGCTTTTAAATGTTTAAAACATGCATGTAGATGAGTATATAACTGTTTATGTAAGCTGTAAGCATGCAGTTTGAAGTTTTTGTACTGTTTTGATGCTCAAAAATTGAAATACATTAAACAGTTATTATTTTAAACTTTGAGGCTCCATAAACGCCTGCTTAATGCATCAGGAAACGGGGGCCGCGGAAGAACCTTAAGTGTGGATCAAATATTCCTATATTAGCGTTCCGCATTATCAATTATTTTTAAGTTAATTGTTTATAAGGTTCTGACTTATGAGGCTCCTCGCAGTAGGTAGCACACTTCGGATGAACTAAAAACTAATTTGCATTAAGGTGGCTCTTTACAGGTTATTAAAATTTCCAAATACTCATTTTGAACAAGCGTAATAAACCTTTTAAATGATTAACTAGAACATAAATTTTAATATAACTTTTGGTCAACATATGTCGGGTCGAAATTGATTTCCAACTTTCGTGTAGCAACCGTTGCTATAGCAACAGAGGCGTTTCAAAATGGCCGCCAAATAGAGTTTAATCAAGTTTATATCTGAAAAAGTGAACTCTAATAAATAACTGGAACTTTACCTCTTAGGAAGCCAAAATTCGTGAAACTTTACCTCCAATTTTTTTGCATCAAAATTTTAAACTTTAGGTGCTTTATAGATAGAGAAGTTTAAAAAATTCTTTGCAGTATTAATATAATTGCGAAAAATGTTATTTTACCTCTTTACCAGGAATCACTTAAAGTAATTCCGCAGTATTACATTGCCTACTTTTTCTGTCCATATCTCAAAATAAATCATTGCGTACTATTGCAAAGTTGTTATTTACTGAAATGATTTCAAAATAATAATAATGTAAATTCATGTGAATTATGCTGTAATGTTCTTGTGTGTATGTTTAAAATAAAAATGTAATGTTTGACGGGAATCTTGTTCTCCGTGCATTATAAGGGATGAAAATATGAAACGTTTATAAGAAGAATAAGAGTATTAGATTTGTTTCTTTCCACGCTATATCAGCTGTAATGCAAGCTATAGTTATTTAAGTTTTCCTAGTATATGTTGTATTTCAGTTTACGATTACAAATCAATATAATCTCCACGTCTCCAGTGTAATTCGTTGGTTATAACGTCGAATCACCGTCAGACGTCACATAAGGCTTTCTCTGTGGTTTTATTCAATTTTGTGATCCGTAGTCCCAATTTAAACTCGGTGTTTGGATTGTGCTTTGTGAATTTCGGCGAAGTAACATGCACCTCGCGGCACTTGCGTCCACTCGGGATTCGGCAATAAAGAAACATCCTTATAAACCAACTCCGCGGTTTTGCTTTCGCCTCTTGTCGTAGAACCCTTCTGCACACTATACTTTTCTTTGATTTTCTTCGAGCTAGAGGCTAGAAGTTATAATTTTGGCGAAGATTAAAATCAGACGAAGAGACTATTCCCTTTTGGTCAGAATAGACCTTTTTCATAATGACGTCAAACGCGGAAAGTCTGATGTTACACGAAGTTTGATTGGCTCGATAGTTTTGTGCCGCCAATCAAATTTCGCGTAACATCAGACTTTCCGCGTTTGACGTCATTATAAGAAAGGTCCATTGTGTGAACTTAATTACATTCGTCGTCGTGGTATGGTTTATTAACCCTCCCGTTCGCGGTATTTGAAACCGTGAACTCAGTTTCACTGCAGGCGACGATCGAGTACCGCCTGGTAATCTGATTTGCTTAGATCAGCAGGCTAAAATATATTTCAGCCCCCTGCAAATTTAGCATTTTATTCCGCGAAATGCGCAGCAATGTCCGCCAAAGTTAATATTTTGCATGTTCCTTTTCTGATTAATTAATGACGTTCCTTAAAATGTGAAGATCTTTCAGATGCGGCCCTATATACAGCGAAATATCCGGGAGGTCAAACTTAAATGTTTCTAGATCAGACGTATAATACAATAGAACAAATTGAATTTCTTTTAAACATAAATTATCGTCAAATGTTGCATTAGGTTTACGCTGTGTTGCACAACTGTATGTCAGCTTTGCAGCTTGCCCGTTGGGTTTGTCCCAGTTGTGCCCATATACACTTGGTTAAAACATGGTGCCAAAACTCAGCCTCATAAAACACGGAATTTGTAGACGGCGTCCGCTTTGATTGTTATTCTAGTTTAATATCCACAAAACTTAAATGGTATAATATAGATTAGAATTTTTTCCGGTTTGTTATTTGTCACATATGGCTCTAATCATGTTGAACAGATGTATGCATGGTTTATGTTTTGTGCCCATTAAAGTTTAGCCAGCTAAATTTCAGTGAGCAGCACTATTTTGATGTTCATTGTGCGACTTCTATAAGGTTTTAGTTTCATTATTTTCATACAATCTCTATAATTTGTAGCACACGTTCCACGTTTTCGATTCGAGGAGCTAGTCGGGAGTGAATTGTGATGAAACGTGCATATATCAATATATATGCATGAAGTAATATTTTTGTGCATTGATAGCTGTCTTCACCCCTTTCCATATAATTATATGAGTTTCTCGTCAAATTTGGTCGTCATGATAAAGCGCAGTTTTGTAAGCGGAGTACTGAAGATGTCGTTGCTCCGGCTCCAGTTTTAGACTAGATGCAGTGGGTGCACATAATTTAAATTGTTTGGATATTCATGCAGTGGCATAACGAGCTGAGGTGGAGTCTTTAGGTATACTTGGTACTGCGGGGTCCTTGTTTGTCATTGATCATGTTTGCTCATACTATCCACATAATCTTTCGTTACCTATCCTGGTATTCTTGGCCCCCAATAACTGGGGACCCTCAGTTCTCGTCCTAACCCTAACCAACATGCAATAGATCACTGTATTAATGCCTTCAAATATTAGGGATGTTTCAAATGTTGTATAATATGTCAGATTGCATTAAGGACAATTAATATCAAGCTGAAATGTTGAACCGCTTTCTCGTCGTAGGATTCGGACCTTTGGCTTTGCATTGAATGGATTTTAATGAGTAGCTGCTTCTGGCGAAGGCACTGTTATCTCTTTATTAGATGTAAATAAATTAGTAATACACATGTTTACAAGTAAGATATTAAGGTTAGGTGGAAAACGCGGTCACCGGACATGCGAAAAGCCGACATGCGGACATTTTTCTGAAATTAATCATTAACACAATTCATTAGAATTCATTATCAGTTACTATACTGATGGATTATATGACATATATGAGTTACAGCATAGAATATTGTAGGTGCAACGGATCACGGTTAATAGAAACTGAGATAAATAATAAAACATTAATATAAAGCGCATAATATATCAGTATGGGAGTGTTTTTATCAAAGTGTCGATAATTTAGAACGCGCACGTAAGGAGTGCCTTAATTTCAGCTAAATTTCGATTATAGGAATCCTGATGTGTGGTACCGCAGGGCGACAACAAATTTATACGTCAGCCTGACTTAATTCGTGTAGTGTTTCCACAAGACCCGCCCCTCTAGCTTCGAGGTCCGGTTTAATATCGGCTTTTGTCAGTTTACATAAATTTAAAGACTTCCGACAATTATGTAATTTAATTAGCACCTTGCCGAAGGCATATGGCTCGTAATGCTGTAATATATGGCTTGCGACGCTGTTTTTGCGTACGGTGAGTTTTCGGTTTATGGAAAATACAGAAGTATTAATTAATTAAAGCACAGATTCCAACCATTGCGTTATCGGCATTCAAAAAAAGATCTCAAAAATCGTTTCAACGAACGCTCGAGCGTGTGAACGGCAAACGAACAGATAACGAATGATATTTTTCAACGAACGAAAAAGCGTTGACGTATATTTTCCAGTTGAAGGTCACAATTATGTATGTGCAAAGAACACAAATTATATTCAATAACAGCTAGCTCACTTGGCGAAAATAATTTAAAAAAGAAAGCCGAGCAAAAGTCGGAGATGTAGAGCAGTAAAAGCTTAAAGACAACCTTGCCCCTTGTCCAGTGTCGTGCGGAAGAATTCGGATTTGCTCACTCGCTGCTTTCTTCGATTCTATTACTTCTGTTCCTCGTACTCTCGTCATTTTTCAACAATTGTCATACGCTCCTCCCCCCACTCCTGAGAGTCATTGTTTTCGTTTCTCTTTTATTAACAATTAATCAATATACATATTTACAACTTTTAACATGCTTGGCGCAGCTGATGCCTGACGGAACGACTGGGCTTTCGAACGAGTTTGAATATTGTGAGTGCGCCCATTGCATTAGTATTCTTGTTGGAGAAATATATATAATTTTGAACCAAATAGTGAGTTAACTTTGGTTTCATGTTAAACGTTGCATTGAAAGCGTTGCTGCTTTATCACCTGTTCGAGACGTCGAGTGAGAAGTATGGCAAAGAAAAATTTTCACCCTTTCTGTAAAGGTTGGGCATCAATTAACCTTTTCTGTCTGAATTTCTGGATGATAATGTCGTTAAGTTCTCAAGCGAGTGGTGAAGCAGTGGACGTATGTTACGACGGTCCAAAAGACGGTAAGTGTAAATCTATATCCAGTTTCATAGCATCGTATATCAATTTATTATATATAAATACAGCGTTCCCGACTCAAGAAGCAACACTACCCCAACCCAGCTCAATCTTGCTTATGTACTAATTTAATAGCGGACGTTTTTAAGAATACTTCATCTTAAGGCCCGTTTGCTACGATTTTAAGTCCGATTTTCTTCTTTTGATAGTTGTAAACGTGTGATTTAGTTACTGATGTTTAAATAAGAGCTTGTGCACATTAGAGCATTCGTCACAAATTACTCGGTCACATTTGCATGTTAACTACAAAACACTGTCAACTACTAAAGGAGAATTAATGAATGTTTCGAATATTACATTGTCCACACGGAGAGAGGGAGTACGAATGTACACTTTGTCAAACACACATTTTGAACAGGGTTAATTATCAAACCATCTAAACTTTTGTCTAGAAGACCAAATTTTAATCTACATTTTTAGGCAAAATATAGCGGGCGGAAATTTATCCTGAAATTTCGCCTAGCAACCGTTGCATCAGAAACGTTAAAAATAACGTTTAATTAAGTTTATATCGGAAACGAGTTCGATGACTCCCAATTTTTTTGCATAAATATTTTAGACTTTGGATACCCTATCGATGAAAAAGTTTTAAAAAATTATTTACATTATTTTATATAAAATTGGGTAGCGTCAAAATTCGCTACTTTTATATGTGCCGCAAATTTAAACAATTAATTTGAGTAAGAGTTTGAGTAAGAGAGAGAGTTCAAATTTGAGTAGTTTCTATACTCATTATAACGAGCAGCGGCGAAACTTGTGTTTACTCAATGTTTAAGTAAAATAACTTCACTCCATATCTTGCGCAAAAACAATTTTCTACTCTTCTAATGAGTACAAAATATAGATCATCATTATTACGCGGCGCAATTTGCGTATAATTTGAACGCGAGAAATGTTTCGCCAATTTGTCAACATAACGCGGTCATAACCTGGAAATATGGATTGTTTGAACACGTTGTATTCTCCTTCGTACCTTCTCCGACTGATATTGGTGCAGATCCGCGGATTTTAAACCACTACTAAACAGTGTGTTTTATCTGATCCAATATTAGAAGTTATTAAAACAGCTTTCTCTGTAGACGATTGTACTGGAATACTATACTAACCCCCCAAAAAATAAAACCTTATCAATCCTACCAAAGGATTGCTGCCCATATTTAAAAGAAGTGACTATGATACATTCTTCAGCATAGCGGTTGCCAAATATCTTGACCCATGCAAGAACGTTGGAATAATAAGGTACACTACTACGAACAATTCAACTCTTTGGGTTATAAAATGGAAAATATGTAGCATACTTACACAATAACTTTGGTTTGGCCAAAAATTTCACTGTCAACTGCCCCTATATATTCCTCAATACCCACATTACAAACAGTTGTTTCAGCTACTAAAAATTTAATTGCAATTTTTTAAAAAATAATGTAACCAAAACTTTGATTATAGCTTAGTTCTAAGTTTCTACGGGACTGTTGCATTAATAAATATGTATACAGCCGCTGCTGTCATTAATGTTGTCCAAATCAGGTATATCAATATACCTGTCCTGTGACTTATTGGTATGCACCAACTCGAGTGTGTTTGCTATGTAAATGTATCTGCTATGCGGGTGCTTCGTACATTTGCATAGCAATTACACTCGAGTTGGTGCATATACCAATAAGTCACACGACAGGTATATTGATATACTTTGATATATATATATAGGAGTGATTTGTAGTAGGATATGACACCGAGTGGAAGCCCGCCATGGCAAGCAGAAAATTCTACTTGACCATGCACGGCAGGATTTGAACCCGCGGCCTTCGGTTACTAGTCCGTAGCTCAGTTGGCATATTTATTCATTTACATAATTCTTAAAAAATTGGCATCGCTACTCTGAGTTTCATGCCACAGAGGCAATCATCAGGCGACATTAAAAAATTCTTAATTTTTTAAGTCAGAATTATGTAAATGAATAAATATATATTGCTCTATTTGCTTGCAGTATTGAGCACTCTTTTATCTCATACGAAGATATTATATATATAAAAATATATATATATATATATATATATATATATATATATATATATTTATATATATATATATATATTTACCGTGTATATATATGTTTACCGTGTTTACCATACTCACCCTTGACGGGCATATTCAAACCTAAGAATATAAATTTGTCCCTTTCCCTCACCGGCTCACTCATTAAGAGTGCCTAGGCCTGGCACCCTACGAGGCGGTTTAAAAGGAGAAAGGAACACACACAAAACCCAAGCCATACATCCATCCAAAGCGTTAATCAGCTTGAATGTGAGAGATCGATTTTATGTATTTATCAGTGCGAATGTACATTCTTAACATATCAAATGTCCAAGTGCCAAACAACTCATCTTATCGTCGTCATGAACATTCTTGCAATGCAGGAAATAAGTAGAGTTAAAAATACGTAGGTATATTCCGCGCCAAGTACTTTTGGTTTAGCATTGAAATGTTGCATACTGTTTAATCTAATAATCTGATGAGCATAATGAACCATGAAGTGTTTTGGTATAGCTCTTCTCTCATTGAGTTTGGTGAAGTTCTCCGATATTCTTAAATTAAAACTACTGGATACTGGATAGGCTGCCAACTCTTCACAGCTTGAGGGTGCAAATAATATGTCTTTAATAAATGGATTATGAACCCAGGATATAGAATTTAAATTTTAATTTTAATTTGCGATATTTTCCCACTTTACGACGATTACTCATTACTATGCACCTAAATGTGACAAACCTACCTCGGTCAAAACATCTGGTTGATTTAAGTCATTTAACAATGCACTTAGTGTCTTCACTATTTCAGATTATATTAGTAACATTACCCCAGAGAGCATGTGATAATCCTTGTGATGCACAAGCCCTAATGCTAACAGTGGTTTCAACCTATAATGATTGATTTACGTGAATTCTCTTGGGTATAGATATAGAAAAAAGTGATTCTAAAAGTGTTTCTGCATGATATGATCAATATGGTAAATTGTGATATCACAAGCCATTGCTAACAGTCGTTTCATCGTATAATCGCTGATTTATGTTAATTCTCCCAAGTAGATACAGAAAAACTGAACTGATTCTAAAAAAGTGTATCTGCATGATCTAATGAAAATGGTAATTTTTCTATTGATAAATATTCACTACAGCATACTGGTATGTCTTAAAACTTTTCCAATGACGTTGGCTTTGTAGGTTCACAGGATGAGGATGGAACAGCATTAGGACAATATTATGCCTGGTTGCGAAGTTAGCACTCGTATCATTCTGGATTTCCTAACCATGCACACTCGCTGTTTTATCGAGCCATGCATAAAAATCGAGATGTGGATTAGACTCAAATACCACGATTTATTTTGCAAAAATCTAACAAACCTATAATGCACACTTATAATGATTGTTTGTTTGATAAAACATTTTATACTGTTTCCTGCAGATCGCCGTTTGGAAAGTAATGCCACGACTTTTCTTAACCTAGTTCGCGTGAACTTTGCTATTGAGTGCATTCTGGAGTGTGCACAGGATAAAACAAGATCTTGTAGATCTGTTAACTACAAAATATCCTCAACTTCTGAAGGAGAACTAAATTGTGAATTACTCAATGTCGAAGAAACAGAAGAAAATTTAAAGAAGAACGAGAGTTATGAGTACTACGTTGTCCACAACAATAGAGTATGGATGTAGCTATAATTGTTTGACAAATTTAATTTTTTCGCCTCCTATATATACATTGAAGATTTAATTAAGTTAATGATGTTTTTTATAGTTCAATACAATGAAGTGTTTGAGGAAGGAATACGTTTTGAAAATATGCTCCTTTTTCATACATCCGATTTGCAGCGCTCCGAAACTGTTGCAAATTTTAAATTCGCACGCAGCTTGGGTAGGGTATGATGGCAAATATGCACTAAAGTTAAAAAGAATTTTTTCTCATATCTGAGTGAAATATCCTTGCAGGGAAATTCCAAATTTGCAATGCCCCATTCTGCACATATGGCGTTTGCTACGATTAAGACAGGAGATTCTCCTTTGTTTTTTAAATCAATGTCAAACTTGACTTTTGTCCAGTTATATTTAACACAATGAGTGAAGAATTTTAGAATCTAGGGTTGAGAAATTTTATCTTATATTCCCAAATATCCAATTTCAAATTAAGTAGTTAATAGAAATCCGAAGTAATTTAATAAAATATTAATAATAATGAAATATCACAAATATAATTTTAAGTAGCGATATTTTCCGCATAAAATACAAATTGATAATAATGAAGCGTTTCAACATTTGTTCGATTTATATTTGATAGGAAGCGGCTCATAATCCTCCATCAAGTCTCAAGCCTTCAACAACACAAAAAACAGGTAAGGCATGTGGAAGCATTTAAACAACTTGTAACTAAAGAGAATACGGTTTTCTCATCGTTGAAACACTAAAAATAATTTCCTGATGCTTTGTTAACTCCTGTGTTGTATATTTTAGCGTGAGTATTTAGTACACTTGCAGTTTAGTCGAACGGTTGCTGTGAAATATTCAGGACGCGCTAATATCTTTTGATTTGATTCTATTTTTACATAGAAATTCGTCGATACTGTTCTACAGAGATGTGCTATAGCTTGAACGTGTTTATCGAGACTGTTTTTACAAAATTAAAATTTACAAGCCATTTTATACTCTAGCTGGTAAAGGCGAGGCGAAAAACAATTAATTAATTAAGATTAGCGTAAAATGATATAAGGAGTGTTACGCACTAGGCGAGTCTATTTCCATACAGAATTACATGTGTAAAACGTGTTCGTCAGTTTCAGGCATTTCCTTGCGCGCCTACCGGAACCCACATAAGTGCGCGAAACATTAGCGCTAGCGTGACCAGGCTCTGCGTCCTAGAGTACTCTTTCAAAGAGTACAGAGTAGATTTTTGTGTAAAAAAACTAGGTATGCTATAGGACCTTATAGGCAAAGGTAAACTGCATATGGTATAAATCATTTTGTATTATGTTGACACTCCAGGAGCGCCTTCAAATTCTTGAGCTAAAATACTTTTGTTGTGTGATTGATGATCAACATTGGTTAGGCGTGACTTTTATCGAAACTCCTTTGCAAATCTCACAAGATTTATAGCCACGGTAAGGAAACTAACGCAAGCTTATTGAAAAACGTTTACTTATTGCAGACCGGTGTCCGTCAACTACCTGGAAAAGTTTTGGCAACTGCTGTTATCATAACAATTCTAATGACCTAACCTCACCGAGAGCGGGCAATCATTGTGAGAGCATTGGCGGGCACCTCGTCACAATTACGGGAGCTGATCTCAATGATTTTCTTGTTCAGACATACTTAAGCCAGACAGGAACGGTTTGGATAGGCTTGAAGAAATGTGGGAAGAGTTGTTGCTATCCAGATAGAAATGTAGCGAACTACACGAACTGGGCGAATGAAGAACCTAATAATGTAGGAGGGGCTGAATCCTGCGTCCAGATGTACAAAGATGGGCAATGGAATGATAATAAATGTGAACGCAAATTCTCGTCAATATGCGAAATCTGTATGTAATAAAGTAAAATTAAATAATAAAATAATATTGTTAAGTCCAAAGACGAGGGATTGTTCTCTTCATGGTGTTCTCTCTTACCAAGATTAGATAAATTCGCTGTTAGGTAGTATATCGATATTAATTCGACGAAATAAAATTAACTGTGTAATATGTGATAGAATATCATCCCCAAAACGAAGCAAATCGCACTTGCTGCTCTAAAGCCGCGTTTACACTACTATGGTTTGACTTTGGCCTTGCCCATGCAGGTGTACGCTTAGCTGTAAATGTTAAGTTGTTTGTCTTGCCTGGCTAGACTAGGTCCAAGCAACAATATTCGGAGGGTCAAAAGAATTGGTGGCCTGGACCAGGCCTAGACCTGACCTGGGGCACGATTTTTGTCGGATGTGCTTAATAATGTGCTTATGGCAAATTTTTGGGAAAAAAATGCAATTTTTACCGAATTTCTCATTCCTCGATGCTCATCATTTTGAATCATATTCAAATCGGCTTCATCCGTGCAATAACAGGACTTTTTAAAATAACATGTATATAACGCGTGTTCTGATTGGTTGAAGCCCGTGTTTGGATCAGGCCATCCAAACACGGAGATTTCGCGGGAATTTAAAAACGAATTTATTATGTGATAGCGATATTATCTTTATTGAACGACGTTTCGATGCTAAAACGTGCATCATTTTCAAGTTATGATGATTACATTTAAATTGAATTGCGTTGATTTTAAACGGTTCATGTCACGTTAGTATATATTGCGCGAGCATGCTTAAGATAATTCCGTTTAAAATCAACGCAATTTAAATGTAATTATCATAGCTTGAAAATGATGCACGTTTTAGCATTGAAACCTCGTTCAATAAAGATAATATCGCTATCATTTGTGTCAAAATTGTATTCAAAGAGATTTTTGATGAATAATTTATTATGGTTTGTTATTTTATAAAACAATTACCTAATGGTTTCCGTGTTTGGATGATCTGATCCAAACACTTGGGAATGTTGCTCAAGTTAAGAAAAACTCGCAAAACACTCGCCTTTGGCTCGTGTTTCGCGCGCTTTTCTAAACTCGATCTTGCAACATTCCCGCGTGTTTGGATCAGGCCATCCAAACACCGAAACCATTATAAGTAATTGTTAACTATTGTGGTGTATCGTTCCAGTTTTATTAGAGTTCACTGCTTTCAACTTATACCATTTTCATGACACACTGAACACATTATATTAACAACTGGACCGATGTATCCGCAATGAAATCTGTAGATGCGGTCGAGTTAACACGATAACGGTGAACACGATGAACCGTTCGTTCGTCATTCCATGCATATATTTTTTACCAAAATCCAGTGTAACAACAAGTCAGGAAAAGTATAGTGTAATTTTTTCCTGTGATTCTCTTCAGTTATATAGAAACGCTTATATTCGGTTTGAGAGAACCCGAAATAACGTGGAAAAACTTGGCCGGCTGGGAGAGAATTAAGACAATATAACTTTTCCAGACTGGACACTGCGAGCGGAGATACGGGTGCCGCAACTCGGGGAGGCATGGTGGTCCCAAATATACGAGGGATCCCTTGTTCGTTTGGACGAGCAAACACCAAATGTGCCAAAATGAGTTATTCCGTCGCATTTATCTGCTTTTTCTAGTCTCTGGGATGTGATTACCCTACTATGCTAATAACATCACAGTGATAATAGGATATATAATTTGAATTTGAATTACTTGCCTTTCTTTTTGCTACACACTCTACAGGTCCCCAAAAACCAAAATCATTGAAATCACCAATAGCAATATAATATAGCTAGAGTTTGAGTACGTAAGCACCCTTTTTGGACACACAAGTGTATAAATGTTTGACATAAGCATTTTTTTGCTTGATGCATGAAAGTAAAATATCTTTGTATATACCCACAAATGCCTGTTATTACCAATGCAATGTACGAAACAAATACTGATGGAGCAAATTTTAATTTTTTGTAGGTTTATTTAGCATTTTGATAAGTTGCGTTAATCCGCACGACCAAAATTTGTGAACAAGTCGTCAAATTTAAATAATAGGGATTCAATTTTTTTGAGGTTTTTCATCAACAATACGATAGCATACGAATAGGTTTATATTTAGCAAACATGCGGTTAATATATATTATATATATATATATAATATTTATTATATATTATATATATATTATTATATTATATATATATATATATATAATATAATATATACATATATAATATATATATATATATATATATATATACATAATATATATATTATATATTAATAAATATATATAAATACATATATATATAATATTATATATATATATATATATATAATATATATATTGTGCTTTTTTGCTCTTAATTGAGCCATGTTTCACTTGTGGATATATATGTAAGGGTGTTTGTTCTTCTACACAAGTATGACCAACCGGGCAAGCAGAAAATTCTACTTGACCGCGGTGGGAATCGAACCCGCGACCTTCGCATTTCTAGAACGATGCTCTACCGTCTGAGCTACAAGGCCAAGTTGGGAACGACTGTGATTTTGCTTGAGTTGTTATTGACAATGCGGAGTTTCGTCCTTTTACATGTCGTTATGCAGTTACTTCTGCAAATGTTGATATATATATTTGTGCTTTTTTGCTCTTAATTGAGCCATGTTTCACTTGTGGATATATATATGTAAGGTGTGTTTGTTCTTCTACACAAGTATGACCAACCGGGCAAGCAGAAAATTCTACTTGACCGCGGTGGGAATCGAACCCGCGACCTTCGCATTTCTAGAACGATGCTCTACCGTCTGAGCTACAAGGCCAAGTTGGGAACGACTGTGATTTTGCTTGAGTTGTTATTGACAATGCGGAGTTTCGTCCTTTTACATGTCGTTATGCAGTTACTTCTGCAAATGTTGATATATATATTTGTGCTTTTTTGCTCTTAATTGAGCCATGTTTCACTTGTGGATATATATATGTAAGGTGTGTTTGTTCTTCTACACAAGTATGACCAACCGGGCAAGCAGAAAATTCTACTTGACCGCGGTGGGAATCGAACCCGCGACCTTCGCATTTCTAGAACGATGCTCTACCGTCTGAGCTACAAGGCCAAGTTGGGAACGACTGTGATTTTGCTTGAGTTGTTATTGACAATGCGGAGTTTCGTCCTTTTACATGTCGTTATGCAGTTACTTCTGCAAATGTTGATATATATATTTGTGCTTTTTTGCTCTTAATTGAGCCATGTTTCACTTGTGGATATATATATGTAAGGTGTGTTTGTTCTTCTACACAAGTATGACCAACCGGGCAAGCAGAAAATTCTACTTGACCGCGGTGGGAATCGAACCCGCGACCTTCGCATTTCTAGAACGATGCTCTACCGTCTGAGCTACAAGGCCAAGTTGGGAACGACTGTGATTTTGCTTGAGTTGTTATTGACAATGCGGAGTTTCGTCCTTTTACATGTCGTTATGCAGTTACTTCTGCAAATGTTGATATATATATTTGTGCTTTTTTGCTCTTAATTGAGCCATGTTTCACTTGTGGATATATATATGTAAGGTGTGTTTGTTCTTCTACACAAGTATGACCAACCGGGCAAGCAGAAAATTCTACTTGACCGCGGTGGGAATCGAACCCGCGACCTTCGCATTTCTAGAACGATGCTCTACCGTCTGAGCTACAAGGCCAAGTTGGGAACGACTGTGATTTGCTTGAGTTGTTATTGACAATGCGGAGTTTCGTCCTTTTACATGTCGTTATGCAGTTACTTCTGCAAATGTTGATATATATTTGTGCTTTTTGCTCTTAATTGAGCCATGTTTCACTTGTGGATATATATATGTAAGGTGTGTTTGTTCTTCTACACAAGTATGACCAACCGGGCAAGCAGAAAATTCTACTTGACCGCGGTGGGAATCGAACCCGCGACCTTCGCATTTCTAGAACGATGCTCTACCGTCTGAGCTACAAGGCCAAGTTGGGAACGACTGTGATTTTGCTTGAGTTGTTATTGACAATGCGGAGTTTCGTCCTTTTACATGTCGTTATGCAGTTACTTCTGCAAATGTTGATATATATTTGTGCTTTTTTGCTCTTAATTGAGCCATGTTTCACTTGTGGATATATATATGTAAGGTGTGTTTGTTCTTCTACACAAGTATGACCAACCGGGCAAGCAGAAAATTCTACTTGACCGCGGTGGGAATCGAACCCGCGACCTTCGCATTTCTAGAACGATGCTCTACCGTCTGAGCTACAAGGCCAAGTTGGGAACGACTGTGATTTTGCTTGAGTTGTTATTGACAATGCGGAGTTTCGTCCTTTTACATGTCGTTATGCAGTTACTTCTGCAAATGTTGAATATATATTTGTGCTTTTTTGCTCTTAATTGAGCCATGTTTCACTTGTGGATATATAGTAAGTGTGTTTGTTCTTCTACACAAGTATGACCAACCGGGCAAGCAGAAAATTCTACTTGACCGCGGTGGGAATCGAACCCGCGACCTTCGCATTTCTAGAACGATGCTCTACCGTCTGAGCTACAAGGCCAAGTTGGGAACGACTGTGATTTTGCTTGAGTTGTTATTGACAATGCGGAGTTTCGTCCTTTTACATGTCGTTATGCAGTTACTTCTGCAAATGTTGATATATATATTTGTGCTTTTTTGCTCTTAATTGAGCCATGTTTCACTTGTGGATATATATATGTAAGGTGTGTTTGTTCTTCTACACAAGTATGACCAACCGGGCAAGCAGAAAATTCTACTTGACCGCGGTGGGAATCGAACCCGCGACCTTCGCATTTCTAGAACGATGCTCTACCGTCTGAGCTACAAGGCCAAGTTGGGAACGACTGTGATTTTGCTTGAGTTGTTATTGACAATGCGGAGTTTCGTCCTTTTACATGTCGTTATGCAGTTACTTCTGCAAATGTTGATATATATATTTGTGCTTTTTTGCTCTTAATTGAGCCATGTTTCACTTGTGGATATATATA